GCTAAAGACTTCATCCTAAACGTGAAGATTCAACATCTAATTCATGTAATTCATTGATGCAGCAGCAGCATTGACTGGAGATGTTGCAGGTGTTCAATAGGTAATTTGTAGTTAGAGGTTACAGAATGGTGGGCAGGTTCAGTATTGTGTTACTCTATTTAATTATCAAAGCTTAAGCCTAACTGGATACAGAAGCAATGAGATTTAGCAAAGCTGTATGATTCACTGGGTAGTATTAAAAGCTCAGTGTCTGTAAATTATCGCATGGCGAAAGATTGGGTTTACGTGACTAACAAAAGTCTCGTTTAAAGTCTTTGTGAAGCCGAGATTCTTAGTACTCAGTTTTGTCGTATGTTTTTTAACCACTTTTGGTATGTTTTCTTAACTTTTTTCAACCTTGTTGCTTTCAAATCTTAGAATCATTAATTTAGAACTAAAAGTATGAAACCTGATTCTCATTCTTTTTACTGCTATAAAGTAAAAGGGTGGGAAAATATCATTTGAGAGTGCATTGCTTTTTAATTCAAATGGTTTGCGATAAATGGTGAGACAAATAGTTTTAATCAGTTTATTTGTTTAGCTAAAATTATTTGTCTCGCCATTTTTTAACACACGCAAAGACCTGGTATCTGGAATAGAGCTAAAAATGATTTCAGAAAATTTTGCACGACATCGAGTCATGCCATTGACCGCTTTTTTCGTAAGTTTTTTGGTGTGCATGCTTCTATGTCTAAGCAGTTTTGTACTGCTTATATCGAGTTGTGTGATTTTGTTTTGGCTTCCATAGTCGTTTGAACAGATTTCAAGTCTATGTTATTGTTTCACTGCGTGAGAAAGCAATGTTATTTTTACTTGAATGTGAAAAACGATGCATTGCTTGTTTAGAAAAGCTTAAAATCTTCCGATTCATCCGAGACTTTCCCTTTATCAGAAAAAGTTTATTGCATTGTTATCATTTACTGATATCACCGGCAGTACCACTTGCTTCTTTCTACTTCTGCATACAATGACAGCATACTGAACCAAATTTTCCCGTTTAAAATTCTTCTTACTTATTCCATTGTTTTTCGTGATGGTAGTTTAGCATGTATGTAAGGAACAGAACTGCTTGCATATCAAAAAATGCTCGAACGTCGTTTTTTGTCATTTCAAAGCAATGGTCGATCTATTCTTACTCAATTACTATATTAGTACATGCTTGCCTGAAAAGACAAAAAATTGCCTTTTTTTTAAAGTTTTTAAATATTATAAAAGTTTTGTGACTTGTGAGATGTGAATAAATTTAAATTATTGTTCCAAATGATTGAAGTCATTTTGTCTGGCCGAAACAAAGTAGTAGCTATGTTTTCATATGGTAAAATGCTTTAGAATAGATTTAACGCGGGATAACTTTATTTTGTCTTTTTCTTTATCTCTCTGTTGTGATACCATCCCTTTCAGATGCTGGAATTTGTAATGACTCGTTTTTCAGGGAAATTCTTTCACTTTTTACTATTATAAAAAAATTTTCAATTAAAACGACCTTTTTGTATCAGTTATTGTATGAGTTGAAAATGTATGCTAAGTGAAAAAATTGTGGGCAAAATTACTGTCTTACTTTGCAAGCCTATTTATTGTAAATAAAGCCATCAAGGCATCGTTGCCTAAATACCGAAACATTCAAAAAAGATCAAATGACTATCATTATAACTGATATCACGATGATTCTCAAATAGTTATACATAGAATAATCTTCTACAACTGCGAAAATAAAATATATGATATATATAGTAAGAGTAAATCAGTCTGTTAACACAATAATTACAGTAAGTGAAGAGAAAGTAAACTTGTATAAAATGAAAATAAACCAAAAGAGTAGAAATATTTCCGCTCAAAATGTTTTGTTCAGGATTTTCTGTTAACATTTAGCACCTCATAAGTGGTAGGTTGAATCTTTGTTTTATTTTACAATCACTTTACAATTGAAAGATTTTCCATAATTGTTATTGACAACTTCTGCAATCATTTTAAGTCGTTTCACGTTGCAGCGATACGCTTTCCTGTGAATTATTGTACAAATTGATTTTCAGTAAGTCTTTTTTAGATAGCGATAAGAATGAATTTGAACTTAAGAAGAAATTACGACTGAAAACTGTAATTTAACTAATATCTAACTTTGCTTAACTTTAAGTCAAAGCTTTAGTTGTAGACAGATGAGAAACGAATAATCAACTAAATATAGTGATCTAGTCCATGAAACTTTATTCGTATTGAAAAAATGTAAAAATCTCCAAGTTTAAGAATTTTTTCAAGTACTGCTCTGTATTAATTTGGATTCAGCATATATTTCGATTTATAACAGTAAAAATTACGAATTTGAAATTTCTTAGGAATCCATTTTTACAAGCCAATTATTGAACCAAATTTGAAACCACTTTAAGCTTTTACTTGTAAAGACTTTAAAAAATTTTTTTGGTGGGATTAACATTCCCCTTTTAATTTTGAAATTCTTACTTATTAACGAACTTGAAATGCATATCATTTCAAAAATAGTCTCTCGTCTCCAGAATTCTTGACAATCACTACTAATCTGCCGCAATCTGATCACTTTTATGCAAGTAGCACTTCAAGCAAATCTTATTAATTTTTAATTTTCTAAGAAATTTGCTCAGCTTCGAATTAATGATGTTAAAAAAGATGATGTTACTCTTCTTATTATTGAAGCTTTGCTGAATTTTCAGATGATTCTATTTGATTTATTCTCAACATTTTAAAATATTTATGATTTCACGTCAAGAGTGTAAAATTACATTCAATTCTAGATTCTAAAAATTGAGTGGAATTAATTTTTTTTACCAATTTTTAAATTGAATTTTTTTCATTACAAGGTCTTGAAATTATTTCATATAATCATTACAACAGCGAATTTTATGTCAGATATCGGTCTCAAAACTGAAATGGTAGAAGCAAGTGCAAAAGAATCGAATAATGATGTTAAAAAAGATGAAAAATTTGTACATATTCTAACTTCACCATCACCTTTACATGCAATAAGACTTTTGAGCGAAAAAGGACAAAGTTCAGCCATAAGGGTCAAAGTTAGCGGTGCCGAAATGTGCGATATCTACCGTGCTTTTTACGGACGTCTCAACATGTCATCTTGGTCTCTTGAAGATAAACAAAAACGTTAGTTTGAAGTTCATTGTTAACAGAAATTAGACTTTACCTCTCAATTTGAGTTTAGAAACAGTTCAAAATTTTCATATTGTTTTGATTGAAAAAAAAGTGAGTAGAACTTTTTCTTCATAGCTTGATACCGCCGCTGTAAGGTTGGAATTTTCCTACACTTTCGATCTCTCAGTCAAAGTTGCACAAATAGCTCGTCATCAATTCCTTATCCGTAGCATGGATCATTTAAAAAGTAAACGTTCATCACGAAAAAAAATCAGTCAAAAAAGGAATAAAATCTCTTGGTAAATTATTTTAGTAAGAATATAAATTGCTGATCGAGTCAATTATTCAAACTGATTTTGAGTGCTAAACATGAAAACTGGCAGTTAGAAGCAGAAGGAACTTTGTAAACAGTCTTACATTGACAGCAGCAGTACTGATCGTGCTAGTGAAGGCGTTTAATTAATTCACTTCCTTCCATTTAATGTTCTTAGGCTTTTTTTGCAAATAAAAAGTTAATCATCTTAAGTTATTCTGAATATTTGCAACCACAAATTTGCA